ATAAAATCTTTAAAGAAAAGATCCCACCAGGAAACCTACAAAATCACCTGCATCTTTTCCACATTTTCCTTCCCCTCTGTGTAAAAATAGAAGGGCTCTTCTTTTTCCCAGGCCACTTACTTACTGGACTCCATTCTACGCTTTCTGACTTCTCAGAGAACCCGTTCTACCCATTTAATGGTCACACGTCTGGAAAACGTTATTTGCATGATAATGTCTCCAGTTTTCATCCTATTGATTCCCCAGTGTCAGTTTGCATTTTCAGAGGAAAATGGGTGGCTCAGTTGGTTAAGCAGCGGACTCTTGATTTCAACTCAGGTCATGATCTCGGGGTGGTGAGATTGAGCCCCATGTTGGGCTCCCCTGCACTCTTTGCAGAGTCTGCTTGGGATTCTCTCTCTCCCTCTCTGTCTGCCCCTCCCCTGCCAAAAAAAAAAAGAAGGTGAGGAGAGCTTTCAGACTGTGATAGCGATACGAGCCCTTGAAAGAGAGAGCATGCAGGGATGAAGGTGGCTTACAAAGAGTCTCAGACTGTGGCATAGTTCTAGGATAGTGTCAAATGAGGCAAATGAGGACACCTCAACCCAAAGTTGCCCAGTTAAGGAATGCCAGGTCTCTCAGGAATGGACCTGCCTTATACCCTCTCTGCTCAGCTATTGGTTGTGAGCAGTCAAAGGGAATTATGACCTCTGCTGCAATGATGGTTAATCTAGAAGGGCAACTCCTGGAGCCATCATTCAGTTCTGTTCCTGCAGCAGGATGCTAGAGTGGGACATTTTCTTGACAACACATTCAGCCTCCTGCAATTTATCAACAGTCATACCCCACCATTTAAATCATTCTCATCCAAGCTTCCAATGGACAAAATCAATGAATTCTTTTCAGTCCTTAATTTTCTTGTCTTTTCCACTGCATTTGACATTGTTGACCACTCCCTCCTTGAAGTTCTCTCCTCTTAACTTCTGTGACACTAGACTGAGAATTTTTCTCTTTAACCTCTCTCTTTTTTTTTTAAGGTTCCTGCTCTGAGAATCACAATTAAAACTCACCTTCCCATGTTTCTAAAATTGGCAAATGTCACTATTATGTACCGTGTTTGATATAAATGACAAACTGCAAAGCTTAAGTCAGTTTGGGCTGCCATAGCAAAATGTCATAAACAGGATGGCCTAAACATATCTGGAGGCTTTGAAGTCCCAGATCAAGGGGCTAGCCACTTCAGTTCCTGTGAGGGTACTTTTCCTGGCTCAGAGATAGCCACCTTCTCTTTGTATCCTAACATGGCTTTTCTTCTGTGCAAGCATGGAGAGAGATAGCTCTCATGTCCCTTCTTCTTATAAGGACAACAGTCCTATCCATACTTCATCAGCACAGTACTTACAATTCTGCCTCTTAAACATCTCAAATCTATTAATTCCTCTCCATCTTCATGGGCTTTCCAAAACTATAAGCCACTTCCCTTTGTGCTTGGATTATTACTATAACCTCTTCCATTGGTTTCTTTGTCATGAGTCTATTCTCACTACAAATTGGGTGATCTTGCTCCAATTTAAATCTGATGAATACCACTATCTTCTTAAAAACCCTTCAAGATCTTTGAGATACAGTTCAAGTAGGGGAGCAGCAGAGGGAGAGGGAGAAGCAGACTCCCCACTGAGCAGGGAGCCTGATGCGGGGCTCTATCCCAGGACCCCAGGATCATGACCTGAGCCAAAGGCTGATGCTTAATTGACTGAGCCACCCAGGCGCCCCATGGAAAGCTCTTTAATGCTTAGCCCCTGTCTACTCCTTCAGCCTCACCTTTGGCATGTCCCATTAGACTCTGCATTCAAGTCAAACAACACTTCTTATAGGTGCTCCCTTATACAATTTTACTTTAGGTCTGGCTGGATCTATTTTTCTCTAACTCCAAATTTGACCAAATCTTACCCATTTTTCAGAGACGATCTGGGAAACCTTCCCCAAGTCTGTGAGTCCAGATTTGATATTTGTTTCCCATGATCTGAGAATACTGTATTCTACTATAACTATACTGCAACTGTCCAATTTCTCTCCTTTGCTAGTTATGGAAACATGAAGATTGGAATTACATCTGTTCTGTGCATCATAACAACACTTAAGACATAATAGTCATAAATATGCCCAGTAGCCATTTTAACAACATGATCTTGGAGCTATTGTCTTCTCCTTCTTATCACTCACCACACATAGATTCAATTGTTTGAGGTGGGAATCAGAACACCTGAGTGAAAGCCCTCACTGTACTATTAATTAGCTGCAAAGCCTTGAGCTAATCTTTTTAGCCCTAGTTTCTTCATTTCAGGGTGTGTTCTCCATGTGAGTGTTGTCCTCCAAGTGAGCTTCTCTCAGCAACTAGTTGAATTCTACTGGATTAGATAACTGGTAAGATCCACCCCAGCTCTAAAGTATATTTTTGCTTGGCTAGAAAGTATTGAGTGAGTTAGATGATATGTGTATGGAATAACATCACTCAATTATATTAAACACTTTTTAAATTATAATTTCCTTTTTAATATAGTCTGCTTTTATTAATCCAACACTCAGGAATCATTCCCCCCAGTTTCAGTTCTATGTTGACTTCATATGGACAGGATATGTCCTGCACTTTTAGTGTCACTTCTCAACTATTCTCAAAACCAGCCAGCTTACCAACTGGCCAGTGTTCTAGAGGTCTGCCTGTGACACCTTCATGTCTCTTCCTTGGCTTTCTCATCTGTAAAATGGGGATTGCAATAATACTTATAAGGGTTTTTTTGTAGCGAATTAAATGAGTTAATTTTTGTAAAGTGCCCGGCACACATTAAACTTTATATAATGCCATTAATTATTATTATGGTAAGGGATCAAACCATTTTCCATTTACCCTGATTTGATGTTTGGATTAATCATCCATCCTCACAAGTACAATGAACTTTCAACAGATTCTTTTTGTCTCCAGGCCTTTAAATATTTCTCTAGCTTGTGAGATACCACAAACCTTCAACTTCTGCTTAATAACAACGTTGGGCTTCCCTTTTCTCTCTGAGTAAGCAATTTTTTGTTACCAAAACAAAATGAAACAAAAGAAAAACACACCCTAATTATTTTTCTTTTTTGTTTCCAATTTGTGTCCCTTGTCAATTCTTCCTTGTACCTCACTATCCTTCTCCCTCTGCCACCTGAGTATGAAGCATCTTATACCTTAAGTAAAATAAGATGAGGGGAGCCTGGGTGGCTCAGTCAGTTGAGTGCCTGACTCTTGATTTCAGCTCAGGTCATGATTTCATGGTTCTGGGATCGAGCCCCGCGCTGGGCTCCCTGCTCAGTGTGGAGCCTGCCTGAGGATTCTCTCTCTCTCTCTCCCTCTCTTAATCTCTCTCTCGCTCGCTTAAATAAATAAATAAATAAATAAGTCTTTAAAAAACATACCACGAGTATTTTCCTGGAACTGGCATTATGTTCTTGTATGTACATTGCAATGACCATGGCCTCAAATCAAATGAGTTCTTTCAAATCCATCACAACTTTAAGGGAGAGGATGTTTTACTGTGATAAACATTTAGTAATAATTACATGGGAATTTCAGGACTCCTAGGGACAGAATATAAACCTTCCTACTGAAAAATTGTTCCCTACCATCACGCAGAAGTTTCACAAAGCTTACTTCTTCTGAGGTGAAGACTATAGTACCCAACATCTCAAAGGAGAAAACAGGGAGGCTTGTTTTATACCCTACCTAGTTTGTAGAATCAGAGGAATTTAGCAGAAAAGACCAGATAAATTCAATACTCCCTTCTATTCTCACCTCCGCCTGTCCTTACTCCCATTGCTACCCCAGGCAATATGGCATGAAAAGGCTCAGCAAGAAATATTCATTTGTAAAAGAAAAACAAATCATTATAGCAACACTCACTGGTCATTCTGTAGCAAATGTGCAATGCTCAGATTTTGTATTTTCCTGAAATAACATGCACATTTTAGGCATGAAATTATGATTGTTTGACTGTGAAATGCTGCACCCAAACACCATGTGGCTTTTAGCAGCATATCATCATATCAAGAACTATTTTTACCCTTTGGCGATTTTTCCTGCCTTGGCTCCGAGAGCTAGTCCATACGGTATTTGTATGTGGCATCAGTGGCAGAGATTTTTTAGAAGAGTAGATTTCTTATGTAGTACCATGTCCCAATGATAGCACAGAATCTAAAGTAGAAATTAAAATAACCTGCTTTCAGGTTCAACTGGCAAGAAATAAAGTCATAGTGAATATGAAAGAGGGAGGAACAAAGATGAGCGAGGAATTGAAGCTTACTGCTCTGTTCTTATTTCTCTTAAAAATTGCTGTACATGCCTACCAAGTTTTAGGAATAATTATAGTATATTTAAAATGTGTAGTCTGTATTTCTTCCCCGTTGAATTTGAATACTCATGGCAATGAACTTTGTCCAGCATCCCATCTGAGAAAAGCAGACAGAAATCCTTAGAACCTCAATGTATTTGCTGCCTTTCAGAAGCTTGGGCAGAAGAAAAGAGCAACTTCGTAAAAGATTTAAGCACATATTGGTCCCCTTCCAGGACGCAGACATGAAGCCATATAAGAAATATTTTGAAAAGACAACCAAAATTAGCCAAACTCTTTAAACTTCCAAAATGCTTGGAGCAAAAGTCTGTTTTAGTTTAATCCAAATTAGTTTGCAGACTTAACTAGAAAGAGAAGCTATAGGAAAATATGAGCTGGCTTAACGTTTGTGTCTTGTCTACAACTACAAAGTGGGCTTTTGTCTCTTGAAGAGACAGATCTGGTTATAGGGGTTTCCAAATTTATGATGACATAAAGGTATGGTGATCCTGAGCCTAGACTCTTAGATTCAAAAGCTCCATATACATTGAGCATAAGACAAAGCTATGCTAATTCATATAACATTTCTACCAGCCTGTCCAGTCTAAGGAAATAACGGTGTTAGAAAGAGTCAGTAAATCAGCATTATTTTATACTCACCCAATATATATTGCTGTTTGACTTGGCAAGCAGATGTTTCCAGAGCTGCTGAGATCACTTTTTAAGGTTTTCTAGTGTTAATCACATTATCTTCTTTTCATAGTTACTTTTGTAGCTACTTTAAGGAGCTTCCAAGCACTATTCCTTTATAATAAAATGTTCCAGAGTTTCTATACTTAAGCTGAAGCTCAACTTGTCCATGCAACCTAACTTGCTGCATATGTATTGCAAAGAAATTCCATTTTGTCGGTTGATTTATTGTTGTATCAGAAGGAATAAACTCTTGAACCCCAGGGGAGAAAAATTATGCTGCTCCATTCTACTCATGACATTTCAACATAGGCCAAAAAATAACTGGGATTATTTTCTCAAGTGAACAAACTGAAATGCATTTAAAAAAAAAAGCAAAAATTTTTGTCGAGATAAATGGTTTCTAAACCTTTAATTGTAAGAACTGCTCCTTTTTCTGACAATGCTTAAGCTTCATTGTGTAAGTTTATCTTTTCTAGAAAAGCATTGTTTTTTAAAAATTGTCACCAAAAAAAAAAAGCATTTGTTTTTTAAAAATTGTCATCAAAATTAAGAAAGAGGATACTAGGTAAAGACACAAATGTGTGAAGTGATACATCTCTTCTGGCTAATTCTTTGAGTGAAGTTATATCTGCCTGATAATGGGATTTGGCTGAAGCATTGTAACTGTCCTTGTCATTTTCCATTATATACGTTTAAAGCTCCATACATCAATAGTCGTGGCAACAATAATAAAGAATAACCAGTATTACATGTTTGTAGGCTGTGCAGATGCTAACATAAAAGAAAGTAACGTTTCAAGTTCTTAACCCGGACAAGTAGGAACTATGTACGATCCTATGTTAGAGAAGATGAATCTGAGGCTTGGAGAAGTTGAGTGTTTTGCTCAAAATCATAAATCTAGGAGATGGCAGTCAGGATGTTGAATTGATTCGCCTGACTTTTCAGCCCATGCATGAATTTTGACACAACCCTGGGCTGTTTTCCTCCTGCACCAGAAACTAGCCCCCGGGTGGCCAATAAACTAGATCACCAAGATTGTCTTTATTATGATTTTCTTCCAAGTTGCCTTCCTCCTTCATTCCTCTCCCCACACTCCTACTGCCATACAAGGGGGAAATTGCCTCAAAACGTAGCGGGGCTTCAGAAAAGGTATTTTCATGTTTAGCATAGGCTAAGAGAAGTCCGCTTGAGTTATTGTAGCTGATTACCTTGAGTATGATTATCAAACAAAAGAAAGGGACAAGGAACATCAAATGAAAAATGCCTAAATTAAGATTCTCAGTCCCCCCAAATGTAACATATCAAAAAGACTTTTCTAATGAAAACAAACACGGGTCTCAAAAAGAGAATTGTGGTACTTGAAGTTGTTTCAATATGTAATTCAGCTTTATGCTGTGAAGCAACTTACAGTACTCCAATTGTTTTACTTACTCAGCTACATGTAAAATGTGTACTTAGGAATGCTTTATAATAAGATACTCAACAAAGTCAGTCTTATTTAACTGCACTGATTAGAAGGGCCAAGCATTTCACTTTGGCACAGTGTGGCCCACTACCTCATTTCATCCTGTTTGAAATATTACTCAGAGTCCAGAATGCCAAGCTTTGAGCAGAGAAGAACAATGTGTGGTTTAAAAAATAAATAAATAAAATAACAATAGTGATGATGAGAAGAGGGTGAAATAATGCAATCCCTGATTCTGTCAGATGGCAGCTAGTCTGGGGGGGGAGGGGCAGATGCGAGTCCCATGATGTTACCAAAACAGAATCTAAAAAAAACCCCTGCAATTACAAAAGAGGCAAAGTTTAAACCTACCCTGTAGGAGTGAGAGTCACCAAAGCACTGGGTGACTAAATGAGAAAGACTCGAAGAAAATGTCTCTGAAGAGAGCTACTGGGGAGGGGTGGAGAGAAATTGCCAGGCAGCCTGAAAACAAACTTGACCTTAATGGTGACCATATTGAAAGTGTAACAGAAAACCTCATGGAGCAAAACCAGAGCAGTAAGGAAAACAAGCAGAAACTCTGCGGAGTCACTTAAGTGTTTGTCATTTGTTAACAGAAAAGAAATGTTTGACTGCTGGCCCCTGGGATTTGTAGGTATCCCACCTAGATGAGTTCCAGATTTTGTTCCAAAAAAGAAGAAAATCTACTCTTCATGAGTATAGAATGAGTTCATTTATCTGAAGGTGCAAGTCATGTTAGAGAATTGTGATCTATCACTTCAGTCATCTTGAGGTGAAGAAATTGTAAATTCAAACAGATTAAATGACTCTTCAATGCCATTAGTGTAGTCAGTGAGAGGTGTACTCACAGGGTGTGAGTTGTGTGTGTGCCATAGCCAGGAAAATGATTTTTAATCCCTTCATGATATATCTTGTATTTATTTGTCCACATTCTTACAATTCTGAAATATGAGTGCATTTACATTTAATGCATGCATTTTAAAAGGCCATGTTTTATTTCTTTTTTTTTTTTTTAAGATTTTATTTATTTATTTGACAGAGAGAGACACAGCGAGAGCAGGAACACAAGCAGGGGGAGTGGAAGAGCGAGAAGCAGGCTTCCTGCTGAGCAGGGAGCCCGATGCGGGACTCGATCCCAGGACCCTGGGATCACGACCTGAGCCGAAGGCAGACGCTTAATGACTGAGCCACCCAGGCGCCCCTTATTTCTTTTTTTTTTTTAATTTTCTTTCCTTCTTTATTTCTCCCTCCCTTCCATCTTTCCATCCTTCCTCCCGTCCCTCCCTCCCTTCCTTCATTTCTCCCTCCCTCTCTCCCTTCCCTCCTTCCTCCCTCTCTTCTCTCCTTTCTTCCTTCCCATCTTTCTTTCCTTCTTTTCTTTCCCATGTTCCCTCTTTTATTATCCTCCTCGCCCACCAAGAACTGTTGTTAAATCTAAGATCCATCTTACATTCTCACCTCTGTTAGATTAAAAAAACTTGCAGATTGAGATCAAAGCCAACAACAACAGAATTCCCAAGGAGCAGATTATGGATATGATAGAATCTTGGGAATACCACTACAAGTACAGATTTTCTTATTTAATTATTTCAAATCCCCTGAAATACAAGCTTTCCAAGGACTAGAACACATCTCTTCTAACTATAAAGCTAGAGTTTTTTCACTCTATCACATTTACTATTTTAATTATTGTTTTCACCCATTGTCAAATAAAGTTACAGAAAAAATACTATAGTCCTTCACTCACATTTAAGCTTCTGGCCAGTACCAAGTAAAACTGAGACTGAGTCAATATTTTGTGAATTTCAGCATTGAAGATAGTTCATATTTTCTGGACATTAAGCTTGTATAGAAAGTTGCTCTAAAATTTTTACACTTAATTAGTTGATAAAACTCCATTTTAATTAATAGATCATAGAGTAAGCCTCAGTGTTTTACATATATAAGCATAGATCCAGAAAGTGTGGCTAGAAAATATTTCCATGGACTACATTTAAAATTTAGAAATTCTATGTATATATTTAGCTGTTCCAATTTTGGATTATTTTATTAGTGTGCTCAGATGATACAATTTTTTTTTCTAAAAATCGTCTCAAGACAACTTCTGAAGGTACCTCACTATATAGAAGGAGGGGAGGGTGGGTAAGAAACCAGCATGAACCATTTATTTTTGTCTTTTTTTTTTCCCCTTCTGTATTGGCATTCATCTTTTATGAGTGTATATTTCCTTTGAAAATTGCCACTGATTTGAACTGCAACCACTTTAAAGATTAGGATCATAGCTTATTTATGGATCTTTACAATTATTAGTACAAGACTGGGTTTTAAAATAGCTTTAGGGGAAAATAATCATTCTCTCTCTTCTCTGATTTCAACAGTCCAGGATACTATTGATTTATTAAAATAGCACTTCTAATTGATAAATCCAAATACTGTTTGTCCAAGTAAAAGTACATTGGAGATATTGGCCGGAAGTTTATATTCATTCCAAGGAGAAATATCTACCTAAGAATCCATCCGATTGAGTATACGATGTAAACTTTATGATCAAAAGTTACCTTTTTACTTACTTTATGTTCCAGATTTAAAGAAAGAACAAAACTGCAACCACTCTTCCTACATGTCAGACAGCCCATTTCTCCAGTCTTCTCCAAATGAAACAATACTGATCTATTAGTGTAATTATCACGTAAGGTCATTTACCACTTTGTAATTGCTGCAGGTTGTGAATGATGTATGAAATGAAAGCATCTGCAGTGCAAATAGAACATAGGCAAGAATGTGCTGTGTGCTAATTAGGTAGCCATCTAATGATAAGACCCTAGGGAAACAGGACAGCAAAATCCCACAGTGCTCTGCAGTTATGAGGCAACAGAACATTCCTAAGGAGTTCAAAAATATATCCATTATTAAGTATAATCCTTTCCTCCCCTCAGACTCTCTGAACTCTGTTCCCTGCATGCACACACCCCTTCTATCTACGTCAGCCTTTGCAATGCAAATCAGGCCCCAACAGCCAAGAACCATCTGATTGCTGTGAGAAACTGTCCTATTTGTTTGTATTAAAGATCGAGGACTTATTTGAAGAGTGTTGATGAGTCGTGGTTTTTATTGTTTTCCTGGTCTTTTCTATTGAAAAAAAAAATTTTTTCCAAGAGTGAGCCACATTACCAAGGAAGAGTGGCAAGGCTTAGTCATCACAACCTCAACTGCTTGGGTTGAAAGGAAGGGAGATTACGCTACTTAAAGCAAAATCTTTCTTTATGCAACAATCCAACAGATTTAGAATACATAGACCAAACAACGTTTAATGAGCTGGTTTTTTCTTAACCAACTCTTAAATATTCACCTATTTTATATGGATGAACTGTAAATTTCAGGAGTCTGTTAAAAGGAGCACCTGACACCAAATACATTAATTAATTAATTAGTTAATTAATTCAGTCAAATTAACCTGTGAGATGTTCCCTCTCTGCTTCCACTACAAAAAATATGTGTTTAGTTTCCTGTTGCTCCCATTTGGGTAGAGAGAATTTAATTCCCTAAATTGCCTACCGAAGTGCATAATCCAATCATCCTGAATACCAATAATGACAATCACTTTCTTCTATTGTGGTCTGTTCGCTATTTATATAATTTCTACTCATCTGGCATTGTTCTTGAGCTCAACATAATGTATTTCTTATGATGTTACACTGTCATTTCCCATTTCTGCTCCAGTACAACAGGATTACTATAAACTGTCTTCAGTGACAACATTTGACCTTGTGGTTAGTTTCTTGTCTTTCTACTCATTACTATTTGTGACTCATAAATGCTGTTAATAAAATTT